TCCACTCCGCACTCCCCCCATCATTCACTATGGTAAGATTTTTGTTCTGATGATGCCTTATACCTGATCCCTTCGACACCTTTTAAGTTGATAATTCTCTATGATCATGAATGATGTTGTAAATATCCAAATGGCCCTTGGCAGACAAAAGTTTCCCATCCCTGCTGTAAATGGTGGGTCACAAACTCAAACACCTACAGAAGCCGCACTGGTGACATACCATATATAAGTAAGGTGACCAGATGTCCCGCTTTTGGTGGGACAGTCCCAATTTTTAACAATTTTTCTTGCGTCCTGTGGAATTTTTTTAAAAATCCTGATTTTTGGAAAGGATGCATGACAAGCTAGGGTATACGGTTTTCAGCTGCCATGTGGCTATTTCGCCAGGATATGAGTTTTAGCAATGGTGCCCCGCTTTACCAATGTTAAAATCTGGTCACCTTATATATAAGGGAAGTAGTTCAAGGGTTAAAAAAACCCAAACTCTTTTTTTTTGCCCCATGCATTTTTTATGGAGCATGAGAGTTTGTTTGTTTGTTATTTCCTGTTTGCAACAAGAAAAGCAACAGCCAATCGTCATGGTGCATGGAAGCACACACTCGGCCTCAGAAAAGACGATGGAAATTGTGGAGGTTGGTAGGGTCGGGGGGAAAAGAGAACACAGATCTTATAAAGAAGGCGTCACAGTTTAGCTCCAGCCAACATTGGCAAGGAAAATTCAGGCTTAAATGTAGCCAAAATTCTCTTTATTATCTTTCCTAGGGAAGCAAGATTTTTGTATAAAACTTCCCAATGTTCAACTCTTATTAAACACTCTGTAAAGAATTATACTGCACAATTCAGCAAAATAAAAGTCTGAAGCATGAAAAGGTAAAATAAACAGGGCAGGAATTTTTACCTGGTAGATATCCAATACTCAATATAGATTGATTGATTGATTGATTGATGAAAGGACCAATTTTTGTAGGGCGTGATTTTTCCATTCAGGACGGAATAAATGAATGACCACAATACAACCTTTAGAATGATAAGCCAAACAGAAAACTAGGCCCCAAATAATTAAATCTAGTCACCATGGGTCAGAATATGAAAGGGCACCGCAAAAAATATCCGGATAGTGCTGAGGGAAGTTGAGTACACATTTTTCCCGCTAGGCGAGCATCAAACAACTTGCCCTGAGTTAGTGCACCCAGTGTTGTCATTTGGGAAGGCTTTCTCTGGTCACAGTGAATTTATTCGTAAAAGCAGTTTCATTTGAACCTCGATTTTTGTGATGGCTGATTTAAGAGAACAGCGTAGGACTGAAAATTCTGTTTCCTGCTCAGGAAAAATGCCTCAGAAACTGTTATGATGTTGAACCCAGCTTAGAAGGACAGCGCTAAGAGAAAAACTCAAGTGTATAAGGGGTTTTCTTGTTTCAAAAAGGTGAAATGTTGATTGATGATAAACCTTGTTCTGGACGTCCGTCAACTTCCCGAATGGGTGAAAACAGTTCACTCATAGTGCATTTGGAGCTCGCTCCACCAGGTCAGACTGTTAATCAAGCTTCTATTTAGAGGTTCTGAAAAGATTGCATAACAGTGTGCAACAAAAAAGGCCTGATTTGTGGCAGAAGGGAGACTGGTTTTGCCACCACCACAATGCACCTGCTCACACAGCCATCTTGGTGCCCAGTTTTTGGCAAAAAACAGCAGGCCTCTCTTGCCCAATGTACCTGACTCACTTGACCTCACTCCTTGCAACTTCTTTTTGTTTTCTAGAATGCAGAGGGACATGAAAGGACAGTGATTTGGGGGCTTAGAAGAGATGAAGAAAAAACGAGGGAGTTGTTGTCAGCTATCCAAATGGATGAGTTGGAAAAATATTTCCAAAAATGGAATCCCAGATTTGACAAATGTATTAAGTGTAATGGAGAACACTTTGAAGGTGATAAGGTTATTTTGTAAACATATTTGAATACATAGCTTTGTAAAAAATAATCTGTTTTTTGAGGGGTACCCCATCATGGAAGGCATTCAACCTTGGTTGTCCCTTTGAAGGAAAAGCTTTCCCAAACCATACCTCTAACCTCTCCACTGCCAAACTGATAGTATTAGTGCCCAAAACTAGACTCATAATCGCTTCATACCTTTTCATATGACACATCATCAAACATCTCCCTAATCTGAGCAGGATTCTCGACAGGTGTGGACACAGGGTGTGAGGAATTCAATGCATCAACTTCCATCGCATCAAAGCACTTGCCAAAGAAGTAGTCTTCCTATTGAGATGGATTTTGTAAAAAAAGGAAGTATCACTTATAACTTAGGAGTTTGACAAAAAATATGTAAGAAGGAAAATTTTATTTGTGACAAAAAATACAAGCTTATACTGCAAATTTTGGAGCCAACTGATTGTATATTTCCATAGTTAATGAAATAAAGTTACTGTTTTCTATAGAGTACCCAAGAAATAAAGATTTTAAATTTGGTTCACCTTAAGTAGTCATCATTTCAGAATTAAAAAACAACAACTCAAATATCCTTGAAAACAAAACCATTACAGCTATAGCCAAATTATACAAATAGCAAGTTATTCTAATACATTCTATCATAATTTAAATTATTTTAAAACAAATACATTTAGCTTTAGTATCATCTAGAGAAAGTAGAAAAAGCAAGTATTCCAGCCATATACTGATTTGAAAATATTAACCCAACAGATTCATATAACCCATGATAATTTTTATTATTAAAGATTATGTGGAAAATAGGAAAATATTTATGTTCCATGGTAGTATAATGATAATGTGGACATTATCATATGTACATAATTACCCATGCAAGAAGATAAAAACAAGAAATAAATATATGGAAATTAATATAAGCGTTGTCATAGGGTAAAAGGTTTTTTACATAAATTAAGTCCTTTTCATTTTGCTGCATGAGATTTTCACAAGTTAAATGCATGGTTTTCAAAAGAAAAATGAACAATTCCAAAACATTAAATTTGTGTGCCATGTCGAGGCTCATATGCAATCCAATATACTATGTTTATCTTAAGGATAATTCATTTGATTAGGCAATTTAGGTGCTATTGAAATACAAGTGATCTGTACCTGACACTCAGGCAATGAATGATCTGAAGGTTGAAGAAATGGTACTAAGAAAACATGCTATCTTCTTTGTCTATTTATCTCTTACTAAAAGCGATGAAACTTAGCACTTGTAACAATTGTAGATTCGCAGACCAGTTTGAAATAAATCTTTCTGCTATGGCTCAAAAGTTCGTTAGCACTTTTCAAGCTTATCTAAACGAAGTTATAAATAAAATATTTCTTTAAATTAACACTTTATAAGGAGCCCTAGTGTCGATATGGGGTAATCATTGGACCGCTAACCCAAAGGATGGCGTTTGAAGCCATCAGCCAGCCCACGGAAGAAAGACGAGCCTGTCTGCTACTGTAAAGCTCGGCAGTCTCGCAAAACCCAGGGAGCGGTTCTATGCGGTCCTGTGCGGTCTCTGGTTTGGGTATGAAATCTGTAATCAAAGATTAGGAAGTCTTTGCTGGCAACAATGAATAGAACAACAGGCAGACTTAAAATGTAACCAAATAAGACTTCTTACAACTTTCAGCTCCGGGTGTGTCACCCTGACGGACACATACTCCATGAACTTGGCAAATCCCTCGTTCAGCCAAAGGTCATTCCACCACTCCATGGTGACCAGGTTTCCAAACCACTGCAAGAGAAGCATGACTGCGGTCACTCACACAAGTCTCTAGAGACTGGACTGTCCACACGGCCATGCACGTGAGGTCTTCACACAGAAACACATTTTAGAGGTCTAATGTCAGTTTAGGGAGGTCAACAAGTATTGACAGCACTGGGGTTCTACAAAAGTAGCACAAAAAAATCCCCTTCAATGTGCATAAGAAAACATGAAACTTAAACCTGTATAGGAATCATTTTTCCTGAGGGGGAAAAGACAAAGTAAAAATTATCAAAGCAAGGAAGAGCCTCACATGTTCCATAACAGCAGAAAGGCAGCCCTCAGATTACAGATGCACTAACTGTATCTTTAAGTCTTTAAGTGGAACTTGCAGGTGAGTCAGACAAGGGCATACCATTCTCCTTTATCCGTACCTGGTGCAAGAACAGGCCAGGGACCTTTTCAGGTGTAAAAGCTGCACATGAGGGGACAGGAATTGTGGGGAAGCATTTCCTGTGAAGCGTTGGTTCGTGAGGGCACATTGATACAACGTAAAGGCAAGTAAGGGCTGTCCCAAGTGTGCCGTTCTGAACGCGGGGCCTGGCAGTAAAATGGAGTTTCAATACCCGCTGAACACGGTGAGTGAGGGTTTTACCTGGTGGGCCAGCTCATGGGACACAGTCATCGTGATGCCCAGCTTACTGGATGCAGAAGACTTTTCTGCATCGAACAATAAGGCCGACTCTCTGTACGTTGTCAGTCCCCAGTTTTCCATAGCACCAGACTGAAAGTCAGGAATAGCAGCAAGATCTTGGAACGAAACATAAAGACACGTTACTAATCTCTACATGAGCCAAGCCCCTCCATGCCTCGGAATGGATGGGATTTGGGACCAAAAGCAAAGATAAGCTGCCCGTGTTCTTCCTCCCTCCCGGCTGTTGATGCCGACTCAGAGCGACCCTCCAGGACAGGGCAGAACTGCTCCTGTGTGTTTCTGAGGCTGGGACTGGTGGGAGGTTCCTATTGCAGACCTCGTGGATGGCAGCCCAACTGGTAACCACGACGCCACCGCCAGAATCAGGGATTCTAACCGGAAGCACCAAATCTGCCCTTTCTTGGTGGAGAAAAGGGACCCAGTGATCCACTTAGCTACTGTGAGACAAAGCCAGGCTTGGATCATGGGCCTCTGACTCCATTTATAAATCTCTGCTAAGGCGTTTAAGGAGCCCTCATGGGGTAGTGGTGATGCATTGGGTTTCCAACCACAAAGGTAGCAGTTCTAAACCACCAGTCACTCCATGGGAGAAAAACGAGGTTTTCCGCTCCCGTAAAGACTTACTGCCTCGGAAACGCCCAGGGGCAGTTCTACCCTGTCCTAGAGGGTCGCCCTGAGTCAGAATGCATTCAATAGCAGTGACTTGGGTTTTTGGAGCCAGAGTTCAAAGATCAAATAAAGTTAACATTACATCAACAATCTACGCTATTTTGAATGCAAGTGCCCACATACACCTAAAATCAAATACGAAAATGGTAAGACTTTAATAAAGAAAACACATATTCTCTGGTTGCTGTTGTTGTTAGGTGCCGCCAAGTCGCTTCCGACTCAGAGCACCCCTATGTACAACAGAATGAAACACTGTCTGGTCCTCACAATTTATTACGTGTGAACCCATGGTTGTGTCAATCCGTAGTCTCTTATGGTATGTAAATGTATTCCTTCCCAAAAGGCATCAAGCGCTTTCTACAGTGTTACCAAGCATGGGCCAAAATAGAAACATTGCATCTTTTCCCTCTGCTATTAAGAATCTGTCCATTCATATAAGGAGGGTTTATCTGTCAAGTCAGAAAGCAAAACTGTTCCCAGGCCATGCGCCTCAGGAATTGCTTTTACTACGGGCTTTTGCTGTCAGTACAAGTTTCCTGTACAGGAGACTACTCGAGAGGCTGAACTTGATGTCTAGCACGTATTGGAGTTCTTACGACTTGAAAGGCTGCTATCATTAACCATGAAGAAAACGATTCTGTGACTGGCTGGAGTCATCCAACGTCACAATTGCTAGAGTCTGGGCAAAGGCTCTACCTTGTTTGGGTAAAGGATATGGAATGCTGAAATAGTCCTCATAAAATTCAAGAAGAGTCACCGCAGCGTCCAGGGCATAGTCTGCTTGATTGATCTTGTCCGGCACGGCGTACACAGAAACCTGAAAAGGGGAACAAGAGAGGCATTTGAGTCCCACAGTGGCTTCTCTCCACAGTGCGGAGAAGCATGCCGTCCACAGTCCCCGCGGGAGGCGATGTTCGCCAATATCAGAGAAGGCACTGGCAAGTTCCATTTCTGGCAGAAATCATCGCTGTATCCGATCGAGCACTCTTCTGAAAACAATGACAAACACTGGATATTATGTATAGAAAAAATGTTTTAAAATATTTTCATAAGGTGTACTATAATAATAATAATGAAGTAGAAGAAGATACAGAGGTCAAAACGAAATGACACGTGTCTCCTTTCACTTCATTCCCACAGCCAGAAATCCTTGTTCACATATTGTCAGTGGCATTCACGTGCGAGTGGCAGGAACCAGTACAGGATCTCCTCCAGCCTCTAGAGGTTAAAGACGGTGAGCCAAGTTCAGAGGAAGCAGGCACAGGTGGGAGAGCAGGTGAGAGGGGCGGTGGAGTCAGGACGATGACCTCACCAGGCAGCATTGGGTTATGAAGTGCGTGCTGAACAACAACAACAACAAATTAAGAGCCTCTGGGACCATGACCACTCATCGCGGTTTTCCAGAGACAAAACGGGCTCCCAAGACGTGAGACTTTTTAAAATAAAGATGGTGTTGGGCAAACCAGGACGAGTTGGTCAACCCAAGTGCCCCCACAGGCTCACCTTGACGCCGCTTTTGGTCATCTTGCTGACAGACTCAAAATCTGAAATGATGAAGGCCACCAGGTAGGTGCTCATCTTCACAGTGACATCAAAATGATCCTCTATGAGCCCTTCCGCCATAGTCACAGATCTCACCTGCAATCAGAGTAACTCAAATCATCCAGGGCGCCAACCATCTAATGCACTGAAGACACTTTACCAAGAGAGATGTCCTCATTACCAGACATAGTATTGAGAGTCTATGTTAGGGTATTTATATAATAATAATAACTATTATTATTATAAAGGATTAATTTATTATTAATTGGGAGTTAATACCTATATATCATTCCTTAGATCAATCACATCAACCAGTATTGTACAATTGCTACCACAATCAGTTTCCAAGCATTCTTTTGCTTCCTAAACTCCTTGACATCATCTTCCTTTTAACACTCCCTCCACCCCGCCCCCCGCCACCATCCCATCACCACCACCTCTGTACACACACCCCTACCTGGAACCCTTATTCTACTTGCTGCCCTATGAGTTTGTCAATCCTGAGTTTCATATACCAAAAAACTGAAAAACATTTAACACAACTTCAAGAGGGTGAGCCTAATGAGATAAACCCTAATATGAACAAACAAAAATACAGAAAATGTTGACAATCAGATCAGGTCCAGCATGGCTCAGAGCAGGGAATCAACCGACAAAGTTTTAACTGCCCAGTCAGGTTTAGCCCTTTGATCTTCTCTAGCCCTTTGCGCATCTCTCCAATGCACGCTGTTTAGTGACCACTTTCCTCCCACCCCTCAATGGTGGATAGAGGGAGATCACCACAGGCTTATTTCCTATGTAGTTCCCATAAACGTATCTTGGGGCCCCACTGTCACCTATAGCCTTCTGCAAACCAGACTCTCACAATTTAGGTTCTGATAGTAATCCCTCCTTTGACTTCAGATTATATGATTTACAATCCTTCAGTGACTAATGATCGTGTGCTTCTGCCATGTGGACTTAGTTGACATCACACTTACATGACTGCTTGTTTGGAGACAAGCCTTTAAGCCCCAAGATGCTATTTTATCTGATAGCTGGGCACCATCTAATTTATTAGCCACATTTTGCTATAGCACCCATATCTTCTGTGTTCCCTTCCTGAGGTTGAGTATTAAGCAGGGCCATGATGTAAGAACTAATTGCTTTTAAGTTGGAGCTAGAGTTTATTGTGAGCCCCAAACCCATTCCTGGATCTCTGTTTAATTGTGTGGTTTTTTATCTACCTTTGGTTCCCTTTTCAAAACCTCCTTGTTAATTTATGGTAGAGAGTCGTATAGATCATCCCTCTGGGGCATAACAATCTTCCAATAATATTGTCTTTGATCAGCCCCCTGGTACTAATTTTGTTAAGCCCTTTTGAGAGATGGATATTGGACCAATGTAGGCCAACTCCATATTTATATAATTATTAAAACGATTCCTTCCAATAACCTGTGGTTGATAGGAAGGTCAAATTATTCTACTCCATTTTTAAAGTTTTACCTGGAATTCACATACCACAAACTACCATTGTAGTGTGTACAATTTCATGGGTTTTAGCATACCTGGGGAGTTGTACAACTGTCACCACTGAATTTTTCAAAGCTATTCCAGGTGATTACAAATGGACTCATATCCGATAGATGTGGATCAAGAACAAAGCAACATAGCACATGCTGGTTTTGCCAAGGACTGGTCTACGTGTCTAGAGACCCATCTGCAAACGCAAATTAAGCGTATAGGCTAAAGTAGGCTGACACATAAGCCCGAAGAACCTAAAAGGAGCTTCCGTTTGCCTGTAAGACTGAAGGCAACACATACCTGTGCCAGACCCTGCAATGGCTCTTCCAAACTCTGATCTGCTATTGCACTCAGCTTTTAAGTACTGCCCAGGAGGAGCCTTGCAAGCTGAAGTGTAGGTGGTGGAGGTACAGCTCAGGAGGTCTGTGCCCAAAGAAGAAAACCTAGTGCCTAAGCAGGCACCGAGGAACGAAGAGCTGCCAGAGTAGCCTGGGGAAAGCCAGCCGAACCAGGCGCACGCGTTGCTGCAATCTCACGCCATCTCGATCCCTCTGCTTTCCTCCCCCTTCCTAATGCCAGCTGTGGGACCTGCTTGTAACGCATCGGTCATTCGAATCCTGACTGACAACCAACCTAGGTTTGCTTCTGTAGGTTCAAATGAGCTCTTCTTTTTAAAGGCCTTCTCCCTACCGCCAAGAATCCCTGGGCGATGCAAAGTGGCTACTGGCCACAATGTTGGTGGTTCCAAACCTCCCAGAGCTGCCGCATAAAATAGGCTGGTGACGTGCTTCCCCCAGGCCACGGTAGTGCTCGGTGCCCGCGAGGTGGTTCTGACTCACTGCCTGGGCCCGCACCAGCCTCACAATTGTTCCTTTGCGGGCGCCCATTGTTGCAGCCACAGTGTCAATCGATCTTCTTAAGGACCTTCCTCTTTCGGGCTGCCCCTCTACTTTACCAAACACGACGTCCTTCTCGATGGGCTGGTCTCACCTGACAATATGTCCAAATATGTAAGATGAAGTCGCACCATTCTTGCCTTTAAGTGGCATTCTGTCCGTCCTTCTTCCAAGACAGACTTGCTTGCCCTTTTGGCAGTGCACGACACTTTCAATCCTCCTTGCCAGCACCACAGTCCAAACACATCCGTTCTTCTTCGGTCTTCCTTACTCAACGTCCAACTTCACGAGCATCCGAGGCAATGGAAACTACCCTGGCTTACGTCAAGCTCAACTTAGTCCTCAAAGTCATATGCTTGCTTTTCAATAGCTTATCAAGGTCCCGGGCGGCAGATTCGCACAATGCAACACGTCTTTTGATCCCTTGACTGTTGCTTCCATGAGCATTGACTGGGGATCCAATCAAGACGAAATCCTTGACAGCTTCACTATTTTCTGCATTTATCGTAATGTTAACTATTGGCTCAATGATGAGGATTCTGTCTTCGTTAAATTGAGCTGTAATCCCTCCTGAAGTCTGCAATCCTTGGTCTGCATCAACAAGGGCTTCAAGTTCTCCTCACTTTCGGCAAAGTTGTGTCCTCTGCATAGTGCAGGTTGTTGAACAAGCCTGCCTCCAGGCTAGATGCTGCATTCTTCCAGTAGGCCATAGCCCTGAAGGTCCTAGGAGACGGGGCTACTCTGCACACGTGGAGCTGGAATCAACAACCCAGTCCCTACAAAATCTCCATCCCTGCAGTTGTCTTGAGGTCAGCGAATCATTAGGAAAGGAAGCTGATGAAACTCACTCCTTCCCACGGTCCAAATGGGTCAGTGCTCCAAAATGTGCTTTTCCAGGCACAGAAAAAAAAAAAAGATCCTTTTATGGACATTTTTCTTTCCCTCTGCAACATGCAGTCAGGCCAATCCTTTTCGATTTCTGCCAGTGGAAGGACCCTCCTGCCTGGGGCAAGATGGCGTGGGCGCCTTTTCTGCCCCTGAAAGGAGCCTTGGTTATCCATGGATTTAGACTGCAGCGTTTGGATGGAGCCTCAGCGGCATTGGTCTGGCCTTCCCTCTACATGCCTATGAAGGTCTCCACTCATCCCCATAGTCCTGTAGTCTCTCCCCTCCCCACCTCATCCGTGGTCTCCTATTCTTCTGGAGCTGGGATCCTCCATGGATAGAGCGTGAAGCAGGACCAGAATGTTAGGGGAGGAGCTGCCATTTTGAAGACACGTATTCTTCTTCTTCTTCTTTTAATCATTTTATTGGGGGCTCATACAACTCTTATCACAATCCATCCATCCATCCATTGTGTCAAGCACAATTGTACATTTGTTGCCATCATCATTCTCAAAACACTTGCTCTCTACTTGAGCTCTTGGTATCAGCTTCTCATTTCTTCCCTCCCTC